CAACTATGAGGAAGCCCCAAAGAATAAAAGGCAGCCCCGAGACACAGCAAGGGAGCACACAGGGGGTCTGCCCCAGAGATAAGAGCAACAATCTGTACCAGGGGCAATGGGAACCAGAGCAGGCAGGAACTGGAGGCAACCAGCAAGGTGAACTGCCGGAATGCCACGGCAGGAGCAGGTGGATGCCCCAAACCTCCCATGGCCCCACAGCAAAAATGGGGTGTCTGTCTCCAGGAAGGAGCAGTAAGTGTAGGCACTTTGGGGGGAAAGGCAAAACAATGTACTAGCTGGTGATGGCCAAGGATAAAAGGGAGAATTTATACCCAGAAGACCAGTCACTAGGGCACCTCAGTCTGTGGAATGTCCCCCCAAACCACACTCACACTGAAAACAGTGCTGCGAATAGCATTCCTTGCAGCTGTTCCCGTGACTCCCCACCAGCATAGCTAAAAAGGTGAGAGGTTACACTTAAGAATCACAAAGCATCGGAGGAAAGCCAATACCAAGAGAAACAAAAATTCAACAAATGAATTTACATAAGAGGACCAGCTAACAGTATATTCAAAACCAAGATTTAAAAATAAGTATAATCTCAGATTCCTATAATTATATACATAATTACAACTATTTGAAAGTTGCTAAGAGAGTAGATCTTAGAAGTTGTCACTCCTGAAAAAGGTAACTGTGTGAGGTGATGGATGTGCTCGCTAATCTTATTGTGCTGATCATTTTGCTATATATACATGTATCAAATCATCATGTGTACTCCTTAAACTTAAACAATGTTATATGTCAATTCTATCTCAATAAAGCTGAAAAAATTAAAAATAAGTATAATTAATATCTACAGAAAGATAAGGCAAGATTATTGCATCCATAAAATAAAATCGATTATAGGATCAGATATTTATGAAACGTGAGTAGTTGGTTATGAAAGAATAATTAGAAATCCTGAAAAGGAAAACTAATCATTTAAACAAAAAACTCAATAGAGGGGCTGAATAGAAAAATAGATACAAATGAGAAGCAAATAAGAGAGAAGAATGGGCTCAGAAATTGTCCCAGTATGCAGAATAAAGGAGCAGACAAGGAAAGAATACAGAAAGAATAGTTAACAAATTAATAGCTGAACATTAAGATAAACAGAGAATCCTAAAAATTATCAGAGAGAAAAAGTATTTCCTACAAAGGAATGAGCCCCTGATAAACACCTGACTGCTCATCAACAACCTTGGATGCAAGTAGAAAATAGAGATCTCTCTCCAAGCTGATACCGATCCATTTACCTGAACTGGCCTTTCAACCAGTTGGAATCCAGCCATTAGGATGAATTTCCTCCCAAGACTGAACTTCACAGATGTCAGCTGAAGTTGTTCCTTAACAGGACCCAGAGTGGCTGGCCCAGGAGTCCAGAGAAAAGAGTTCAGTATAGACCCTCGGTCTATAGCAGGAGTATCAGGAGGGTTTTCAATTCCTAGCTACTAAATACCATGGGTATCTCTGGAGTAATTATAGTTCTTTTAGATAAGAGCTGGTCTTCAAAGGTAATGTTAACAAGGGAAAAATACACATTCTGGTTGGAGGAAAGAGAGATGGAATCAAATGCAAGGCTAACCTGTGACCAACAATGTGGAGACTGTTTGCTCCCAAAGACCAGATTCAACATTTGAAAACACTATAACCTAGTCTTATCATCAACTTCAAGAATGTTGAGTTTTGGATCAAGAAGAAAGGGATCAAGGAGCCAAATCCATTATCCTCCAGTCCCACTAACCCTCTTCAAAGCTGCATCTATAAAGAGAAATGAAGGGGGCAAAATCCAGACACCACAAACATTTATTGAGCATCTACTACATTCAAATTACTAATGCTTAAAGAAGGGAAGTGACTTGCCCAAGTTAACACGGTAAGTGGTAGAGCCAAGACTGAAACTCTGGTCTACTTACAAGTCCAGTGTTCTTCCATCATAACACAGCTGCTTCTAGAAATTTTCTAAATATTTAGAATGACTGCTCCTCCTCCTCCTCACTGTCATATGAGCACCTCTGGGACTGAGCAAAGAGAGTATCTCCAAGAAGAAAGATAGATGGGCCAGGAATGAGGAGACTTAAATTCTCAACAGGTAGGATTTCCACTGTTCTCTTAACACCTTGGATAAGCCATACATCCCTCTGGGTCTTGTCTCCTTATATGCCCCCACACACACCACTCAACATTTTAGGCTCAGCAGCAGGATCCATCAAATCATTCAGCTGTGTAGTTCATCATTGGATGGACAGGATTGTCAGAAGCAGAAGAAGGGCCTAAAAGTGGCCCCAGATAGCATCCTGGTAGCTCCCTGAGCCTCCTGGGGCAGCACCTAAGCCCCTTTACCATACCTGGCAATATCTCTGGCAATTTGCTCGTTGGGACAGTTGACAAAGACGATGGAGTAAGTGCCGGAGACATAACTGCCAGTGACAGCTGAATGGAGCTGCAGGCTAAGGGTCCTGAGCATGGGGTAAGTCAGGAAAGAAGCTGTCAGGATCTAAATGGTGGGAAAAAGCACAAGTCAGCAGTGACATGACAATTCGCTATCTCCTGCTCAAGCAGATTGGCACCAGGGCTGGGCATCATTTTTTCATACCCATTCCCCATCCAAAAAAATAATTCCTGGGATCTTGAGCTTTAGTACTTCAACCAAGTTCTGTCTAGATATTTACCTCTGCATTTTGCAGATGATTAAAAAAAATTAGGCTCAGAAATCAAGAAGCTTGTTCAAAATCACATAGCTTTTATTTGGTTGAAGCCAGGATTAGGACTCAAGTCTGGATGACGGGAAATCCATTCCGATGGAGGTAATGCCAACTGGCATCCACTGAACTATTATCCTGTGGAGATTATAATGAATGATAAGCTCTTACATCTAATGATGTTTGAGGAGTTACCTTCACCTCCATTCATTTGTATATGTGCCATACACTGGGTAGGCTAGTGGAAAGGGTAGCCTAATTCTAAAGCAATACAACCTGTGCTACTAAACTGAGCGCTCAGGTACCATAAGGAAGGCTCTACCTGAGGGAGCAGAAAAAAGCTTGGAAGAGAAGGTACCATCTAAGTTGGATCTGGAATGAGAAGTAGGATTATAAGAGAAGAGGGACACATGCTAAGCAAATAGTAATATGTACAAACTCAAGAGGTGTTAAGGGATAGATAGATGAGTTATAGTCTGCATGGGTCTTAGTCTGTGGGTATGAGGTCAGGAGGAAATGAAACTGGCTACAACTATAGAGAAAAGGGTCAGGCTAAAGAGTCTGGAGTTTGTACTCAAGTGGTCGGGTATTTTTGGAGGTTTTAAGTAGCAGAGTAATAATATAGTGAAGCTGAGTAGGGTACCAGGAGGGAGGAGGGAGAATGACCAGTGATAGCCTACTTACACGGCCATTACAATAATCCAGGAAAAAGACTTGAAGCTAAGAAGATAGCAGTGACAACGTGAAAGGAAAAGGCACTCAAGGTATTTTTCTTACTATTTTAATGATAAACATTTAAAATAAGAAGAAATGAAAAGAACTGGAAAACACCTTTCTTTCCAGGTTCTCTGCTTGGGGAATATAATGGAGTCATTAACAGAGAGAGGCAGCTTGCAAGGAGTCCCACTGTGACTTAAGCCAGGCTGAACAAGAGGGTGTTTCTCCTGCCTCCAGCCCAGGGCTTCTTTCTTGCTCAAATAAACCTCTGTCCTCCCACTCCTTTTATGCTATTGCCTAAGTCCTGCCTCCTACTTCTTGGCAGGGCCTGAGCAGCGTTTTTGTGTCTTCAGCTTCAGTTTGACGACAGGCCTGTCAGGGTTGGGTTTTCTCATTCCCTCCCACTACCTCCACCAAACCACCAATTCAACATACTAGTCCACTGAACTAAACCAGTGACCATGCAAGAAAAACAAACCCAGACTTCAAACGCTTTTAGTATGTGTGCACAATAGGATTTAAATCCTAGTGTGACTACTGCTGCCTGTGGCCTTCAACAAGTTACCACCTCTCCTTCTATAAACCTTATCTAGAAAGTGGAGATTATGACACTGTGCTGCCTGTCTCAGTTGCTATGGGTTCACAGGAGATAGGAAAAATAATTTGTAATCACAAATTCAATAAAATTGAATTTCATGCTTTGCTCACCACTGTATCCCCAGCACAGTTCATGGCACACAGCATGTTCTCAATAAATACTTGCAGACTAGTGAATTAATTCATCAGCAAGATGTTGTTATTAATACTAAATAGTCTTGCGAAAAAGACAAGTCTTTGTTAGCAGTGCTTTTAACAGAGAACTGGGCAGACTGGAACACTGTAAGGAGTCCACTATATGACTCTATGGTAGCTTCCAGCACAGACTCCAAACAAAAGGAACAATGGCCTGTCCCCCAACCAAAAAAGCCATTCTGAGGGAAGATCTGAGCATTCCAGTCAGCAGGTAATAAGCAATAAGATTAGCAACACAGCTAATAAGATTCAATATAAGCTCACCCAAAATGTACTGAAACTCTTAGGTGAGCTCAAAGTCAAAATACTAAGTTCTTACATCTCTTGATGTTTGAGGAGTTAATTTCCCCTCCATTCATGTGTATATGTGCTAGGCACTGTGGATAGGCTAGTGGAAAAAGTAGCCTAATTCTAAAGCAATGTGACCTGTGCTACTGAAACTGAGAGCTGTGCTCTCAAGTATTATCTAAGATAACCCTAAATTTAACAAATAAGATAACTGAGGCAGAACATTTAGAAACTCTGCAACAGAACCAAGACTTACATC